AGATGATTAAGCCCTACCCTAACAGGTGAAAACTGTCAGATTGGGTGGACTTGAGGCAGGGATTTGTAATTGCAGATTTGTACAGTAAGGTTAAGCAAGTCTTGATTTCATCATTGCGCAGCTGTTTTCTTCTCCCAGTTGTTTCTCCATGAAAAGGACGACATCTGTTAGGCCGGGAATCCAATTCTCGAACACAGTGACTGGTGTATGCTTGGGAGTGAAGGACATCTTCATATAGTCTTCTAATTGGATCATAAATCTGTAGTGTAGCATATTTTGGTACCCTTCAAACCTAACTTCATAGAGTGAGGAAGAGTTAAGCTGGCCATAGCCGGATCAAAATTCAAATTTCAATCCATCTATAGGCAAGCCAGTTGTATTGAAGTCTATCTATTGATTGACTATATCAAAATAAATAAATAAAATTGACTGGAGTTAGACTTTAAAGTGGTTCCAAAGGCTCAAGGTTTTTTACCTTCACGTATTCTATGCATGAAGGTAAAAAACCTTCTGTGTGCAGCACCCCCCAATCCTTACCTGAGCCCCCTTCAATTCAGCAATGTTCAGAATAGCCTCAGCTGTATGGGGACTCTCCCTCCTCATTGGCTGAGACAGCAGCAGAAGCCCAATGGCTCCCGCTGCTGTCAATTATAGCCAGTGAGCCAATTAAGAGAGATCGGGGGGTGGGGCTGAGCCACGTTTCTTATGGATGCATAGATAAAGACCAAAAAATAAGGTAGACAAAAGGGGCCACCTTTAACAAAGAAGCTATGGAAAGGACCTACTGCAGTATAGTAGGAAATTACACTTTATTAATAAATTGAATATCAAAAAATGTACACATGCTGACAGAGCTCACGCATGTGTGTGGAACATGTTCACGTAGACAGCATCAAGGAGCACCAGCTGTACCCATCTTGGCGGGATTCCATCAGCCGCTCCATCGGAACGCACCCTCCAGTAAAGTGTGAACTACAGTTCACTACAGCATGAGGTTTTGGGCCACATTTAGTGAAGAGTACAATGCAAAGCGGATCTGGGCAGGCTGACAGCTGTAAGGCAAAGACTTTGTGCAGGAGTGGTAAGAGCCTCCGGGCAGAAGTTATGGGAATGCAAGAGTGGTTTTGAGTATGCTGGATGGCTTCGTTGGAATGGTGAAGGAAGGTGCTCAACTAACCTTATGCCTCTTTGCTTTGGCTCCCACTCTAATACTTATGCTTTGCATTCAAACTAGAAAATCCCAGCGCCAATCAAAGAAAGTATACAATTATGCAGCTGTGCACCAGTGAAAACCACCAATAATGAATAACACAAAAAACAGCGCAAAAATTAAATAAATAAAAATAATCACAAATAAATAAATGTCCGTGCAAAAAAATATATATAATATAATATTTCAAACATAAGTCCTTATTTTCCCAAAAGGATTTTCAAGACAATGTTCCAAAATGTGCTTCCACCTAATCACCACGTGAAAAATAATATTGACCGCACTCACCAGATGGAGGTGAGTAATAAGCCTCATAGGATATAAGTAGAGATGAGCGAATCGAACTTGGCGAAGTGGAATTCGTTTCGAATATTAGGAAAAATTCGATTCGCACCGAATCCGAAAATTAGCAAACTTCGGATGCACGAATCGAATTTTTCCCGATCGGCCGATTTTCATCCCTTCTACAGCCGGCAAAAAGTGTCCCTGCAGAGAGCTCCGCTATTTCTGACAGTTCTCTGACAGTTCCTTCACATTTACAGCGGTTGAAACATTGTATCTATTTGTTTCCATTTAGGATACAGATGTTTTTATTCGGAAACAAATAGATACAATGTTTCAACCGCTGTAAATGTGAAGGAACTGTCAGAGAACTGTCAGAAATAGCGGAGCTCTCTGCAGATACACTTTTTGCTGTACTGGAATTCTTCTTATTTTCATCCTACTTCTTCTTCATCCTCATCCTCTTCTTCTTCTTCTTCCTCATCCTCTTCTTCTTCTTCTTCATCATCCTCTTCCTCTTCTTCTTCATCCTCATCCTCATCCTCATCCTCTTCTTCTTCTTCTTCTTCTTCATCCTCATCTTCTTCTTCTTCATCCTCATCTTCTTCTTCATCCTCATCTTCTTCTTCATCCTCATCTTCTTCTTTCTTCTTCTTCATCCTCATCTTTCTTCTTCTTCTTCATCCTCATCTTCTTCTTCTTCTTCTTCTTCTTCTTCATCCTCATCCTCTTCTTCTTCTTCCTCATCTTCTTTCTTCTTCTTCTTCTTCTTCATCTTCTTCTTCTTCTTCATCTTCTTCTTCATCATCTTCTTCTTCATCATCATCTTCTTCTTCATCTTCCTCTTCATCATCATCTTCTTCATCATCTTCTTCTTCATCCTCATCTTCTTCTTGTTCTTCTTCTTCTTCTTCTTCTTCATCATCCTCTCTTCTTCTTCTTCTTCTTCTTCTTCTTCATCTTCTTCTTGTTCTTCTTCTTCATCTTCTTCTTCTTCTTCATCCTCATCTTCTTCTTCTTCTTCATCCTCATCTTCTTCTTCATCCTCATCTTCTTCTTCTTCTTCTTCATCCTCATCCTCTTCTTCTTCTTCCTCATCTTCTTCTTCTTCTCCTCATCTTCTTCTTCTTCATCCTCATCCTCTTCTTCTTCTTCCTCATCTCATCTTCTTCTTCTTCATCTTCTTCTTCATCTTCTTCTTCTTCATCTTCTTCTTCTTCATCTTCTTCTTCTTCATCATCATCTTCTTCTTCATCATCATCTTCTTCTTCATCATCTTCTTCATCATCATCTTCTTCATCATCTTCTTCTTCATCTTCTTCTTCTTCTTCATCCTCATCCTCTTCTTCTTCTTCCTCATCCTCTTCTTCTTCTTCTTCTTCTTCTTCTTCATCTTCTTCTTCTTCTTCTTCATCTTCTTCTTCTTCATCTTCTTCTTCTTCATCATCTTCTTCTTCATCATCTTCTTCTTCATCATCTTCTTCTTCATCTTCTTCTTCTTCATCTTCTTCTTCATCTTCTTCTTCTTCTTCATCTTCTTCTTCTTCTTCTTCTTCTTCTTCTTCTTCATCTTCTTCTTCTTCTTCATCTTCATCTTCTTCTTCTTCATCTTCATCTTCTTCTTCTTCTTCATCTTCTTCTTCTTCTTCTTCTTCTTCATCTTCATCTCTTCATCTTCTTCTTCTTCTTCATCTTCTTCTTCTTCTTCTTCTTCATCTTCTTCTTCATCTTCTTCGTCGTGCCCCGTGACTGCCCAAATGAGTGAAGTGGGTGGTGATTCTAAGATCGACGGCACTCATCTGCATGTCATACTGACTGACAGTATTATTTCTCTTCCCCAGCAGACTCCAAGGGCATTTAAATTAAAGGTACAGTGTTCTGCACTAATATAAAGGCTCTCTGAAGCCTAGAAACCCTTTTAATAAGTTAAATTCGCAGCGAATAAATTCGCATCGAATCGAATTTATTCCGCAAATTCGGCGAATCAGCCGAATCAAATTTTTGAATAATTCGCTCATCTCTAGATATAAGAGATCCTATAGCCCCTCAGGAGGAACTCAAATCGCCTTCTTCACTCTGCTTAGATACAGCAATCAACTCCACTCTACTTCTCCATGGAATCCTCAATAATGTGCAAGGGAAGAAAGGCTACATAGTGTAATACTGCCACTCAATACCATATAAATCCATAGAATAAGGACACTCACATGTTTCAATAAAATAACAGGCCTTGTTTAATAGCCTCAAAGGCTTCAAAGGAACAAGTTTCCAAATTGTAAATATAGGGATCTCACGCTTTAAGAATCACTGTAGAAGATGACCAGCTTTCCACCTCTAAAATGACCGCTTGGACCGCAAAAGTCGGCGTACGTTCCAAATACCGGAAGTGACGTAGGCCAAGATGACCAAGTATCTAAGCAGGGTGAAGAAGGCGATTTGAGTTCCTCCTGAGGGGCTATAGGATCCCTTATATCCTATGAGGCTTATTACTCACCTCCATCTGGTGAGTGCGGTCAATATTATTTTTCACGTGGTGATTAGGTGGAAGCACATTTCGGAAAATTGTCTTGAAAATCCTTTTGGGAAAATAAGGACTTATGTTTGAAAAATATATATTATATATATATATATTTTTGCACGGACATTTATTTATTTGTGATTATTTTTATTTATTTAATTTTTGCACTGTTTTTTGTGTTATGCTTTGCATTGCCTAACCCTAATTGCTGATTTCACTCTTGCTACTTTACTAACAAGCCATACTTTAGGTTTTGAACTGCACTTTGAAAAGCACTGGCATTGCAAGAGATCATTTTTAATGGCCTATGGGACCTCAAATCAAACCACTGGACATTGGGACTTCCTGAATTAGATAATGCGACTAGCTATGAAATTACTATACTGAGCTATTACAGTGGTCACCACTAGGATGATACGGACTGAGTAACTTTCATCACCTAGTCAAATGAGGATTGATGAAATTCCTTAACCACTTGCCTACAGGGCACTTATACCCCCTTCCTTACCAGGCCAATTTTCAGCTTTCAGCGCTGCCGCACTTTGATTGACAATTGCGCGGTCATGCAACATTGTACCCATATGAAATTTTCCTCACAAATAGAGCTTTTTTTTTTGGTGGTATTTACTCCCCGCTGGGCGCTTTACTTTTTGCGCTATAAATAAAAAAGTGCAAAAAATTTGAAAAAAAAAAGTTTCTTTGTTTCTATTATAAAATTTTTCAAACAGGCATTTTTTCTCCTTCACTGATGTGCGTTGATGAGGCAGCACTGATGGGCACTGATAGGCAGCACTGATGGGCACTGATAGGCAGCACTAAAGGGCACTGATAGGCAGTTCTAATGAGGTGTCACGGATAGGCGGCACTGATAGACAGCACTAACGAGGTGTCACGGATAGGCGGCACTAATATGCAACACTGATAGGCGGCGCTGATAGGTGACACTGATGATGGGTACTGATAGACGGCACTGACTGGCATCACTGCTGGGCACTGACTGGCGGAACTGACTGGCACAACCCCTGGGCACTGACTGGTGGCACTGACTGGCAGCACTGCTGGGCTGCACTGGTGGGTGGCACTGGTGGGCACAGGTGGTGGGCACAGGTGGGTGGGCACAGGGGCACATGTAGGTGGCACTTCTGGGCACAGGTAGGTGGCACTGCAGAGTGGCACAGGTGGGTGCACTGCTGGGCACAGGTGGGTGCACTGCAGGGCACAGGTGGGTGCACTGCTGGGCACAGGTGGGTGCACTGCTGGGCACAGGTGGGTGCACTGCTGGGCACGGGTGGGCGGAGCTAGTGGGCGCACTGCTGGGCGGAACTTGCGGGTGGCACTGCTGGGCACCGATCATCAGGGCACTGATCATCAGTGCCCTGATGATCGGTGCCGATCCCCGCTCTGACAACTGCCGGTTCTCGGCAGTACTTTCCTCACGATCTGACAGTGTGAGGAAAGTGCAGCCGAGAACCGGCACTTGCATTTCCCTCTGATCAGCGTGTCATTGGACACCGCTGATCAGGTGGTAAAAGGCCGCTGTGATTGGCCTTTTACCACATCACGTGATCAGCTGTGTCCGTAGGACACAGCGATCACGGAGATCGCCGGGTGCGCGCCCTCTGGGGCGCGCAGGAGAGCGCGTTCTGGGAGGACGTCATATGACGTCCACCCCAGAACTGGCCGGCCGCGGTGAAGCCGTCATTCGGCTATGCGCGGTCGGCAAGAGGTTAATCTGTTTAGGCAGTTAATTCAAACCTGGCTAAGGTTGAAAATTAGTCTCTTTTGTCCTCTTTTACAGGCCTGTCCTGCGATAGCTGGCGCAAACCCATGTTGGTTAAATGAGTGAGGTGTGGTTGAGGGTGGTGTATGGAAGGCTCGGGCTCTAACAATTAAAGTAACAACATTGTCAAACATTGTTTTTAAACGTTATATGGAGGATGGTTAGATTTAGTAATTACACTGTATGCACATTTTTTGATATTCACTTTATTCATAAAGTGTGATTTCCTACTATACCACAGTAGGTCCTTTCCAAAGCTTCTTTGTTAAAATTGGGCTACCTTATTTGTTTGTCTTGATAGATGCACATAGCTTTAAAGGACCCCATCTTAATTATGATGTGACGGTAACAGGAGTGTAAAACTCAGGTTAAAAATTAAAGTAATTATTGCAGCTCTTAGTTTTAAATGAGTTGTGGTCTTATGGATGGGAGCAAGCACGAATTGGTGCCCCCAGAGCAAGCAGCTTTATCTGGGGGCATTGCTTGAGGTAGAGGAGCCAGAGCAATGGTGGGGGACCCGAAAAGAAGGGGTTCAGGGCAGCTGTGTGCAAAACCACTGCACAGAGCAGGAAAATATGACATGTTTGTTATTTTATTAAAAAAAGAAACAAAGCTTTAGTATAGTTATTTAAAGGATATCTAACCTAAGAACAAAGATTTTATAAATTTCAGCTTACCAGTCCATAGATGTGGAGGAGTCCTGCAGTAACACAGGGGTCAGAGGATGGAACCACAGCATTTTAAAAGAGCCACTTAACTGAAAAAAATTGTTGTTTCTGCTGGGCCACATGAGTATTCCAAGTCTGTGACTTTCTAAATGGTGAATCAAGGATAACTGTGACAACCCTGGAGCACTCACCTACAAAAGCAGGTTATCAATGCCAACATCTCTGTTTATGTCATGGCAGGCTCCCTTTAAATGCTAAAATAATGGTAAATAATTAAATATTAAAATAAGGGTATTTTCTCAAGATAGACCATAACTATTGTTCTTACATGTTCCTTCAGAGTTGTAACTTTTACGGCAGTGTCAGATAACGTCATTCTGTTTGGAAATGTTCCTTTTGAGAAGTATTAAAATGCTCACACAGTCAAATCATATCCCAGTTACAGCAACAATGATGGCTAAACAATGTCTTTGACTTCCTCATGTGTTGTCACACAAGGTTTGGCAATGATATGAAAACCTTGTAGAACCTTGTAAGAGTAATGTTACAATATAACTAGTGAATCCTGAAATGATTGTTAAATGTCAGGTGTTGAGTAAACACCCAGTTCCCATACTTTATGAGACTAATATATTTTATTGAATGTGATTACCTTTGAAAGGTCACTAGTGGATTTTTAACCCAGAGTACTACAAATTTAAAGATGTACTGTCAAGTTTGAAGTATTGTTTTATCGAGGGCAATCCTAAAACTTTGATAACAAATGTAGACAGGTACAGAGTCAAGATATAGGTGATCTAAATGAGGATCAATGGACAGCAATGTTAGAGCTCCATCCAGAAGTTTTGTTTTCCCCTCTCAAACGCTGATGCAGCTTAATTATTCCAAAGAATTTATTATACGCCTCAAAAATTGTTTTCTTGGGGTCACCAAGCTTTACCTAACTGCCCTAACTGTAATGTGAATATGGGCATGTTAATTTATATGTTATGGCACTGTCCCAAATTATTTTGGTATTGGATAGATATATTTAGAATTTTATCAGAACTTTGATCAATTCAGTTGACTCTTAACTGTAAATTTGCCCTGTTGGGCATATTCCCAGAGGACTGGTCATTTTTCTCCTACACATTTTTATTTATCCGTTTGTTATTTCTCACTTTCTTTCTAAGTTGATTTCTCAACGTTGGCTATCATCTAATGTACCAACTTGTGTCCAATGGTGCGCAGCTGTGAACGTTGTGCTGGATAGAGAGCGACTTACTTTTAAACATAGGAGCTGCATAAGATTTGGTCCTCTTGTCTATTCTCCCCATATGTAGCCCCCATTAATGCAGATGATCTCCCTGACTTTTTTGAGTGTTGCTGCTCTATGAAGGGTCTACGGTGGGGAACTTAATTGAAGTATTGATTGTGATGTAATGTCAATGTCTTTAGTGATGATTGCTAAATATCGGAATGAGCTATCTTTATTTTTATTATTTATTTTTGTTTTGTGTGGATATTTGTTTTATTTGCATATGTCTAATAATTTAAACTCAAAAAGTATTTGGTTAGAATTTTTTTTTAAGTATTGTATATGTATGTCTGTTTGATGTACGTTATGGCGTTAGCTTTGTTCTTTGAAATAGTTGACTAGACCTTCAGCTGAAAGTCTGGTCTATGTTGTCCATTTTAAAAATAATTTGTCATTATGCTGATTCTCTTGAAAGCTTGCTCCCCCACTCTCTGATATGTAGATTCGCTGGACTCTCCTGCCATTCCACTCACTTGGTGAAGCCCTTGGATATATCTGTTGCCTTTGGGTTTTTGAGAATGCTCCTTCTCTTCCTCCCAAGATTAATGCTGTAGCGTCACTACCTAATTAAGTCACTAAAGGACAGAAGTAAGACTTTTCAGACTTTGCAAGATCACTTTAAACATTTTAATAGCAAGTTAATTGTATCTCAAAGAAAATCCTGCAAATATGTTAGTTCCCTTTTCCAATGGGCTTTCCAGAGTTATTTATGCTCCTGACAGCTTTACAAATTAGTCTAAACAATGGCTGTTGTGGTTTATGGGAAACGTGTCTGATGTAATCCAGATATCTAGATTTTTTTGGCAAAATCTCCCAAGGGAATAAGAGATGACATTTAAATTGGGCTTGATTTATGTCAGGCTGTTAGGAGAAAAATACACTTTATAATCTTACCCAAGGATTAGTACGTTATTTACCAACACATTTACATTAGTAACAAAATACCCATTTGAGCTCTCTATTTTTCAGCAGACAGTAATTGAAATATACTGTGCATGCTCAAGGAAATTTAGAGAAATATATAATTATTTCTTAAAACTTTACAATGTAATTTCCATTTTTTTATAATGTAAATATAGATAGATATACTGCTTCCTTAATGCCTCTTCTTTTTAATCTCTAAGGGGGTTTTTACATGGAAATCCTGCCGGACAGTGCCGCAACCTTGTGCCGTAAATGTGACTGGATTGCGGTCCTGTTGACCTAAATTGGGTGTAGTTGGCAAGTGACGCTGCCTACCAGCCGTGACGTGTTGTATAAATGTAGTTGCGCCACAAAGCAACCACGACGGTGTATACAAACATGTCCACTGATCCTGTTAACTTACTGGTCGGCAGATCAAGAGCCTGGTTTTACTGCTTATCCTTTGCATGTGTGAACCAGGTCTAATAATCTCTGTAAGTAGAGATTGGACATCCTGTTCTTTGTCAAAAACATGTCCTGAGCATTTTGTATTGAGTTTCACATTTCAGATCCCTTGAATGTGATTGCCTGTTATAAAGTACCGACTGCTAAAGGTGTGGGAAAATTTTTGTCATGTCCAAGTAGTGTCAAAGTTTGCTTGCTCCCTCCCTGGCCATTGAGGCAGCCCATCATGTTTCATGGTTCATTACGAATATATGGAGGTTGAAGGGAGAACTCTGAACCTTCTTAAAAATAGCTTTGCCTGAAAAGTTCAGCCTGACATTTGGAAGAAATAAATGCTTTTGCAGGAGAGGAAGGGAAGCCTCCTATTGTACCTATTAGTTGTTTTTTTTTTGTTTCTTGTCAATTTAAAGAAAACCAACACTGTAAAAAGGCCCTTCACCCAGTAGCCATCAAAGTAAGGTGGACCTTTGATGGTAAGGTGACCACCAATCTAAGATGCCCCTCTCCTCTGACAACCAATGTAAAGGAGCATTTCCATGACCACCTATGTTTTCTTACTGTTTATCTAAAATCTTTGCTGCTGAAAACAATTTTCATATACAGTGGGTGTCTGATACACAAAGTATTCCACTGTTTTTCCTTTGGAATGATGTCCTTCTTTTGATATGCATATCTATATAAATACATGTTAAAAATCAAGTAAATTTTTTGCTCTTTAAAGTATTATTTGTCCCTAACTTTCAATAGAAATCACAGCAGCTTACTTCAGTACTTACTGCTGCTGCTGCTGCTGCTGCTTCTTCTTTAACTACTTGCCACCCAGGCCAATTCTGATATTTTTCACATACAGTTGTGTTCAAAATAATAGCAGTGTGTTGAAAAAAGTGAATAAAGCTCAAAATCCTTCTATTAACTTTTATTTCTATACACACAAATGCATTGGGAACACTACACATTCTATTCCAAATCAAAACATGAAGAAAAATAGATCAAATTTGTGTTGTTCCTCTAAAACAAATGTAAGAAAAGTGAATATTAGACTTCAAAAAAATAGCAGTGTTTGTATTCTTCTTTACAAACTCAAACATTCACTATATAAACTGAAAAATGTTTGAAGATTTTGCTTTCCTTTGAATCACTTAATGAATATTTGGTTGTATAAGCGCTGTTTCTGAGAACTGCTGTACATCTGTGTTGCATGGAGTCACCCAACTTCTGGCACATGTGAAC